TGTTTGACTGCAAACCCGTATCAACTCCTCTTGCCGTGGGTACCAACCTGCATGAATTCCAAATGGACGAAAAGGACTCGGAGCCAAAACCTCCTTACCGTGCCCTGGTAGGCGCACTCATGTACCTCGCAGTAGCAACTCGACCGGACATCGCCCACGCAGTGAGTATCCTGTCACAGTTCAATTAGAGAAACAGCAACATCCATTGGATCGCCGCAAAGAGAGTCTTACGTTATCTCAAGGGAACCATCGATCAAGGCCTGGTTTACGCACCGGACGAACATACACTTCGAGGATATGTAGACGCAGATTGAGCAAATAATACAAATGACCGTAGATCTTATACTGGGTACACATTTCTGTTGGCAGGAGCTGCCATCACATGGGAATCACGCAAACAACGCACCGTAGCATTATCCAGTACCGAAGCCGAATATTTGGGCCTTTCAGCAGCAGCAAAAGAATCAATATATTTGATCCAGTTCATGAAGGAATTAGGATTCGATTCCATCGCCAGTGTAGATTTGTTCAACGATAACAATGGAGCCATCAAGTTAGCCGAAAACGCCAGTTTCCATCCGAAAACGAAGCATATCGACATAAGACACCATTACATTCGAGAAGTCCTCAAGAAGGAACCAGTTACTCTCTCACATCTACCTACCGAACATATGATTGCTGACGTATTGACGAAAGGATTACCCCGAACCAAACACGATTATTGCTCACGAGGAATGGGCATTTTCTCCGAAGAAGGTAAGGCAGCTCCAATTAAGGGAGAGTGTTAGAATGGTAATAGGAACTGCAACCAATCGTACACTACAACAGACGCCGTTATGTAAAACCGCTTAGTAGACTTAATATAGTGCAAATGTATAAGCCGACAATGTCGCACGTTTATAACAGTTCAATACAGTTAATATAGTTGGTACAAAAGATTATAGTTGTTCTTTCTTTGACCAAACTTCCAATCATAACTACATGGTCACATTGGAAGCAACCGGGAAGTGGATGTTCGGTGTACACACAGACATTGCATGTCATTGATAGCTAGTTCTAAAATTTGAAGGATTTGTTCTGCGAAATCATTATGCATGGCCCCAACGAACATGCCATAAAAATCGTTCGTATTTCTGAGTCATCTAAACGAAATAAGAGTTTATTTTATATTAATACTTCAACAATTTAACAAAAAAAAATCTATTTTTATACTATTTATATACTTATTTACGCAATCAAGAAATGGCAAATCAAACAATAAATATTCATCGACTGACTCATAATGTTTCTGATTAGTTAAATAAATGACGTTTTGCATTCCGGTGATTTTGGAAACAGTAAAGTTGGGAAAAAGGTAAATTATAGATATTCCCAAATTTTAACTTGCGGATGATTCTTTGCGGGGGCGATCGGTCGTGCTCTGCAAGGCCCCGCGAATACTCCTCCATCTCCGCGGTGGTGTGATCCTTTATTTGGTGCGCCTTCACTTTCTTGATTGTCCCTGAACGGTCACCGCACAGCCCACACACGAAGAAAAGGGCACACTTATGCTCCCTCCTCGTGTGTTTGCTAAGATCGGCGTGACCGCGGTAGTGTCGGGGCGGCACCATATTGCAGATCCGGCAGTCGAACCCATATTGTCCAAAGGGGTACTCGATGTCATACGTTGAGGGTACCTCCTCGGCCATCGTCTTCTCGGTTTTCCGACACTTTGATCTTAGCCGTTAGGGCCGAGAAGCGATACAGTGAAGTCCCTAATTTCGAAAATCGAATCTTATTTGTAAAGAGATCTTTAAAGGAGATTTAATTCTATATTTTAAATCTAGACTCGAAGAACGGTTTTTAGTTGAAAAAAAATACCGTTATTCGAATTTCATAATTTCTTCAAAAAAAAAAGGAAAACGGCTTTTTAATACCTTAAAAACCTCAAACCCTACAACGAGTTAATAATGAATGTTAAATTAACCTATTGTTGTGGCCAACCACTTTATTATTAATTATTGATATATAACTACTATGTATACTTCTTTATCTATGTAAGTACAGTCTTATGGAAAGCCCCTCGGAAACCAAACAAGCCTATCGGCACTTGAAACATCCGCTTAGAGTAATAAAACCATTTTAGAGAAACGATCTGTTTCTCATATTTTGTTAGTTTTACGACCCATTTGATGTGCACCCGCTTGAAAGGGGCATTATGTGAAAATCGGGCAGTTAACTATAAAAATTATGCCACCCACATTCAAGCTTCAAAATATTTGCAATTGTGCATAACTAACCTTATCCAGATAACCTCCAATAATACTTGACTATCGCGCGGAACAATCCGCCGGCGCTATCTAAGCCGGAAGACATAAACAAATCTCCGCCGGCGCCTATGACGTACACCCCCACATGGCAAAATAGCCCCTACCCTTAGAATATTATTTCGTATTCAGTACGTCTTCTTACATATAAGACAACACTTATGTTATTTTAAGTTAGTCCTAGTCCTAGTCAGTTCTAGTATGACTCTACTCTTGACAGCAACCTATGCTTGAAGCAACTGGAAGCTAGATTAAGAATCACCTATCATAAGTGTTAAATAAATACATGCTCAACAACGATTTAAATTAATAATATTAAACTCATTTACTTTAACAAAACCCACTAGGACTCCACATCGACAAAACTACAAATTATTATTCCACAGTGTCCAGAGATATTCCATCCCGGGACACGACACTATTTAGTGAAATATGAAAACCACTGGCCTTGACCCATTCATTGTGCAACAATATGCATCTTACAAATTTTCGAATTTCCATGATAGTAAAATATAACATGCACAATAACAACGTTATTGTGCATCTTACTTGAATAAGTGAAATACGCGGAAAAAGATATGTGGCATAATAAAAGAATATTCAAATGTTTCATATTATACATCAACAAATAAGTCTCTTCTAGGTATATATTGTTGATTTGTAGACAAACTGAACATATTCTTTGAAAACTTTGATCTGAGCGCCTGAAAATGTTGGCGTACGTTCTGATCGCGATTCTAATTGTTTTTCTTAATTTCAAATCGTGGCAAGTTCGTAGACGTTGCAAGGATGTTTTGAATTTGCCGGGACCTAAGAACTATCCGTTTATTGGAACAATCCTAGAATTTGGTAACAATCCAGTAGGTATGTGAGACTAATTTTAAACGAATTAAAGTTAATAGCCAATGAAAAGTTATAGAAAAATGTAAATAAATCTTACAATTAATAATAATAATTTATTTGCCGGACATCAATTCAAAAAAAATACATTCTATAAATAAATAAATGATAATATAACAACTAAATAATAACAACTGTCAAAAAAAAATATTAATAGGCTGGCCCGCCCGGGAACATAAATTTAATTATGGAACAATAAAAATATATACATATGAAAAACAGAAGAATGAGGAAAAAAAAAAGCAGCGGAGTAAGAACAGAGGGTATCAATCGAGGGATATTAGGTATTGAAATAGGGATAATGTAGGATATTTAAATTTGGAAAGGATATTTGGGTTTTGAGTGGCACAGAATTTAGAGAGGGAGGCGATGTCGGACTGTTTGGATTTAAATGTCAAGGAGAAGGAAAGGTATCGGTCAAGGAGAGGGACTATTTTGATTTTGAGTAAAGGATATCATTAGGTAAAGGAACAGAAATGACGGGATTTGGATTTAATTTTGGATTTGAGTTGTTTGGAATGGGCATTTAGGTTGTCTTTCAATTAATTTAGTGCATTTCAGATTTTATAAAAAAAAATGTATTTTAAAGATGTTGCTTTAATTATTAAAATAGTTATTATTTTATTGACTATTACAAAATATACATTATCGATACTTATAATATATTGATGCTAGAAGTAAAGAATGTGCTGAACCAACAAAAAATAATATTTCACCGAATCTTAAAAATACAAAAAATAACAGTTGTAAAATTGATTACACCTCATAATAAGACACGATATGTATAAATATTGGCTAAAACAGAGTAAACAGATAAAATTGTCAATGAATAATTAATAATTTAATGGCAACTTTGATGAAAATAATGAGAAATATAAGAAATCTGTGTGCAACACAAAGTGAAAAATTAGGAAATAGGATTCAAAATCCTTCGCTCATTGAAAAATTTTGAAACTTTTACAAGTGAATACCTTAAAAGCATAAGTAAATTACATAATCACAAAGTGTCTAATTTAGAACATCAAATTAAAAATTACTTAATTACAACAGCAAGATTACAGTAGACGTAATTAATAAAAATGATGTCCGTTTTCTAAATAACATTCTCAATAATTTGCAAGCAAAAAAAAGTAAGCAATCAAATACCAGTCACAAATTTATAAATAATTACTACAAATTAAACTGAATTATAATTTCTCAGTAATAATAATAAATGCCAATGCCTAAAATATTTATATAAAATATCGTTTATTGCAAGAGTTATACAAAAATTAAAAATAAATATTTGGCAAAAATACTCTGATCGATAGATTCATGGTCGAAACTAGGGCTAATCAAAGTTTGGTAAAAAAATAATTATAATTTAAGTAAAGTAACCTTTATTTTATAAATAAATAAGCAATTTATAACATATATAATTAAGCAATATTTGTCTTCAAAAACTATTCATAAAATAAAATTATTAAATAGAATTAAAAACAAATCGTAAAATAACTCGTTTTTCTTGCACTATTTTATAATGATTCAATTAAATATTGTAAATATTAAAACCAGTGCTTGTGTGAGCGGTGGGACATGTTCCAAATGATTTTTAAGTGCTAGCGCTGCCTCTTTGCATCATAGCACTATACGGCCCTGATTAAAACATATTTCTAACTAAATTATGTTAAAATTGTATAATCATCTATTATTTTTTTTATAAAATATAATGCAATTTTTTAGTGACTTACACTTATTAGCTAATTAGATGAGTAACATAATTAAATCTAAATACTTCAATTGATTCGTATTTTGTTGTCATTTGTACAGATTTTTTGAAGAACATGCAACGATTATTCGAAGAGCACGGTCCAATATTGCGTTTCTGGAACAACACCGAATACCCGACGGTGATGATATCAGGAGCCAAATATATGGAAATAATATTAGGATCTTCAGAGCACTTACAGAGGACGCGACTCTATAGATTACTGGAGGTTTGGCTAGGAAACGGAATTCTGGTGACTGATGGCAATGCTTACAAATAAGACACACATGCAAGTATTTATTTTCAAAATTATTACAGCGACAACCTGGCGAAAGAACCGGAAACTCTTAAATCCGATGTTCAACACGAAAATTTTGGAAGGCTTCATCCCAACATTTGAGCGACTTTCTAATATATTAGTTGACAAAATAAGAGAGAATATTTCAGTTCCCTTCGATGTCTTCCCATTAATTAATTTATATTCATTGGATATGATCTGCGGTAATTTGAAATTGCAATGTTTGTAAATACGATTAAAACGCTTTTGTTTTGGTTAATATAGAATCAGCGATGGGTCATGAGATAAATGCCCAACTGAATCCTGAGTTCCAATACGTGAAATCCTGCAAAAGATTCTTGGAGTTGCACTTAGAACGCTTGTTTTCTCTATTGAAGACCAACGATTTTCTATACAGTTTCATGGATGCCAGCAAGGAACAGATGGAACATGTCGAATTGATAAAATCAATCGCAAAAAACGTGATCAAAGAGAAAATATCGAATTTCCATAATAAAGATTGCAACAAACCTAAAGATATGATGGATATGTTCCTGAATATCGTTAGAGACGGTAATTTGACCCAAACTGAAGTTAGAAATGAAGTGGATACGCTCATATTTGCGGTAAGTTTGATACGATAAGAGCAACTCATTTTAATGCGGATTTGCAGGGACACGACACCGTTGCTTCGGTTCTGAGCATGGTGATCTTCGAGCTTGGTAAGAATCAGGGTGTGCAGGTGAGGTTGATCCAGGAAATCGATGAAAATATCTCCGGAAATGAGGAGATAACGCTTAGTAAACTAAACAAGTTGCCTTATCTGGAATGCGTCCTAAAAGAATCCATGAGGCTACATCCGCCAGTACCTTTCACGGAGAGGCTTATACGGAAGGACTTCACCATTGGTAAGCATACAAATAAATTGTTAAAAATCTTAAAGTTTGTTTTGTTCAGATGGATATTTGATACCAGCGAAGACAAACATTTGTGTGCACTTTTACGGTTTGCACAGAGATCCCGATCATTTTCCCAACCCCGACCATTTCGATCCGGAAAGATTCACACCGGAGAACACGCCAAAAGGAACGAGTTTTGTTTCGCCCCTTTCAGTGCTGGTCCTCGAAACTGCATAGGTATGTCTAGAATTAGATGTTCTTAATGCGTTGATGTTTGGTTTATTTCAGGACAAAAATACGCAATGATGGTTATGAAATATACCGTGGTCAAAATCCTGAAGAACTTTAAGATTAACCCGGTACCCGGATTTGATATGATATTAGGAAATTTCGCAGTTCTTAAATCTGTTAATGGAGTTTTCGTTAATTTACAACCTAGGTACTAAAATATATTAGTACATTAAGAAAACACTAAGTAGACTAGCATATTTCAACCCATGTATGGCGACCTAAAATTGGGTAGCGTTAAATTTTTAAGGGGTCAAGAAATTATAGTTATCACCTTACGTCAAAATGAGGAACTGATAAAAAAAATCTGGTTCATAGTACATCTACAAATAAATATGTTCTGTTGCGCATCAGAAAAGTTGAGAAACGCTAATGCGCTATTTCAATTGTATTAATTGTTTGGTATATGAAAAAATCAATTTTATAAATTTATTTTGATCTGTAGTCTGTGTTTATAGTACTTATTTAATTTAAAGGAACATTGCAATCAACAACGCACACAATCTTAGTCGTTTAATACCAATTAGAAACTTTTTTTTTAGAATATAAATCCGTATTTCTGTAGTTTTGTTAACTTATAAAATAAGTATTATTTATTATAAAATCATACTAAAAAGATTATATTTTTGTTTTCAAACATCGAAATATATTTTTTAACACGTTTCAGTACAATATATGTCTTCTTTTCAACGCAGTATTCTTACTACCAAAAAAATAAGTATCACAATTGTATAGTAAATTCACCATGAATCAAATATCTAACGTATATTTTTATAAATGATAATTTTACTAAGATGGCGGCGTTTCACGATAAATCCACTACAAAATAGAATTAATATTTACATACACGTTATTTTCTCTAAAATTTTAGACGAAAATATCAAGAAAAAATATTGAAGTAACAATCATTTAGATTAAAATAAAACATTAATATTTTATATACTTCAAAAGCGACCTCTACTAAATATATATCAAAATAAAGAACATTTACAATAAGTCAAGGTCAAAAATATACTTATTTCTATAAAAGGAGCTATAGAAAAAACGATAAAATAGTTTTAAAAACTGGAAAATATATTTTTCATAACGTGGATCACAATTAAAATAATTTTACATCGAAAATAAAATATTTTAGATACTAAAAATTTTTACATAAGTGCAATATGTGAATATAATTTTACTTCATTTATAAAAGTACATTCAAAATATTGTTAACTATAAAAGTTATTTTTAATTGTTAATTAATATTCATATAACTAAGAAAAGCTTAAAATTAATAGAGAAAAATTGTATAAATTATTTTTTTTTACGAAAGCTTAAGCAATTTCTATGAGTTGTTTTTTTTTTAATTTTCTAATTATTCGTAGCTTTTGTATGTTTTTTTTATACATTTCCTTCGATATTTTGCAGATTAATTTATATTTTGTTTATTAATGATATGAAATTAGATTTTATATGAATTTATATAGACTATAATAAATGTACAATAAACTAAAGAAGTTTTAAGGTATGTGCATAATAATTGAGAAATATTAAATCACTCATTTGAAAATTGAAGAAAATAAAATCTATATCATTTGGAAAACGAATATATTTATAAGAGATTCTTTTACTTTCAGATACATAATTTATATTATAAAAATTTCAAAAAACAAAAATCAACTGATACAAATAGGTCTTTGTGTCCTATTTACATTTTTTGTACCATTTTTAACCTATTGTGATGTCAATAACTTTAAATTCTAAATAACTTTTTGTAATAAAAAAATATTATTTAGTCATTTAAAACTACAAGACATGTACATTGTACATAATAAATTAAATAAAAATTACAAGTTCAATCCGCATATTCTGCAACGACCTCTAACGTATATTTTTTAAATAATATTATTAGTAAGATGGCAGTGTTTCACAAAAATCCACTACAAAAACGAATAAATATTAACATGATGATTGTTTTTAAAAATAAAGTTTATGTTCATAGGTTTCGTACAACATTTTTTAGATCAAATTTTGTATTAGCGGTAGAAATTTTTGTTTCATTTCTGAATAACTCTTCAATAATTAAAAATCTATAAATAATAATAATTTTACAATAAAATTCTGTATTGAGAATTGTTAAGAAATATTCATATTACTTATAAAATCTTTAAATTAAATGAGAGTAAATTAAAATGTATGTATTATAAAAAGCATGAAGCATAAAATATTTCTATGAGTTGATTTTGTAGATTTTATTTTTATTAGGAGTTTTCGTAAGACTTTTATGCAATTATAATAAATATGCAATAAACCATAAGTTTTAAGGTATCACACCATATATTCTAATAAAAAATATTATTATTTAGTAATTGAAAACTACAAGACATATACATTGTACATAATAAATTAAATAAGAATTACAAGTCTTAAATAGGCAATAAGCAACCCAAATATCTGTTAGAAATATAGTCAGGGTGTCGAGTCAGACAGCAGTAGTAAGGACTTAATATTTATATAGTAAGTAGTATAGTCGGCAGAGCGCGCTATAGATGTGTTAAGCTCGGTATGCGGGCCACATCTGTCGCTTGGATCTGCATAAGTCTCCTCATCGGTTTCGGTACTTCAGTTGGTGATGCAAGTCCTGTACAGCGCCCTCTGTTGATGGTCCAGCATATGAGTAGTCCGTCATATGCATATTCCTAACATATCCACTTAACCTCCCAGCATATGAGTAGTCCGTCATATGCATATTCCTAACAATATCTGTTAGAAATATGTCAGGGTGTCGAGTCAGACAGCAGTAGTAAGGACTTAATATTTATATAGTAAGTAGTATAGTCGGCAGAGCGCGCTATAGATGTGTTAAGCTCGGTATGCGGGCCACATCTGTCGCTTGGATCTGCATAAGTCTCCTCATCGGTTTCGGTACTTCAGTTGGTGATGCAAGTCCTGTACAGCGCCCTCTGTTGATGGTCCAGCATATGAGTAGTC